GGAAGAAGACTTGGAATCTAGATAAGACCCATAAAGAGCATCTTCGCAAAAGTACATTTGTGTCGCAACGTCGTGGAATCGGGCACTAGTCAGTTGTTGTTGTTTTTTTTTGTTGTTGTTGTTTTTTTTGTTTGTTGATGTTGTTGTTGTTTTTTTAGCATGATACGAAAGTATTGGTATAATCCCAAACAAAGCTTATTGCCTTATTTTTTTCAAAGGAAAAAAGCTACCTCTCTCAAATGCAAGTCGATATATTTGCGATTGAAGGAGATGCAGGCCTCCAGGTATCCGGATAGAATTACCTAGACAATTGCCTCTAAAGTGTTTGTTTATTCTGGTAAGGGTTTTACGGCGCTCGCAACTGCATAAGGTCATATGAGCGCGGCGGACACATTACACATTTTCAGTTGGTATGGCATTTTAAATTTTGTCCACGTGGTAGCCGAAGCCTACTCTTTTCGATTTTGGACCACCAAGGGAAATTTGACATGTGCAACTTGCACACGGGACCACTGAGATTTTCCGCCTTTGTCAGCAGTAAGAAGGAACCAAAGAGTAGCAGTAAATAGGTTGCAGAAAGAGTCAGGAGCCCAGAGGAGTGGACAAAGGAGGTGAAGGGGTGGAGGCAGAAAGTTGAGACGAAAGCAGAAGACAGAACATTATTAGAGAGCAAGAAAGGAGGTGAAAGGAAAAAAGTTCAGAGAAGAAAATTTTCCTTCGCTGTCCGGATTCGAACCCGGGACCTATTGCATGAGAGTGGAACATTTTAACCTCAAGGCCACGAGAGCCCCCCTTTAAATTTTGGTGACTTCCACCGCTGTAGTGTCTTTAGAGACTGCAAATTTACATTTTGTGTATGCGTCTTTGATCAACGATTTTCAGTAAAATCCACGCGGGAATGTGTTTGTAAATGGAAATTTAAGGTGTAGAGCCCAAAACAAGCTAAAACAGTCTTATAAAAATAAGACAACAGGCGGGGGGGAAACGTCGGTTTCTTCGTTTTTATTATTTTGACGAGCGGTTGATTTCACCGCGATGCCATACATACTTTCAGAATTGATGATGGTCTTCAGAAAGTGCTTGGAATAAATGGACAAATCACAGACATTGTACTTTGCGAGACGTAATCAGACGGCGTCCATTTATAGAAGGGTGAAGAAATAAAAACACTCTCAACAAGGTCGTCAACCGAGTTTGCCACCAGTGCACTAAGAAGTCGGTTAAGAATATATCTTATTGTGGCCTTGCATTCTGCTCTTAAAATGACTATTTTGACACAATATGTCTGATATTTCTTTGCTTTTGGGATATATATAGATCACAGTCCATCTATGTCTGGGCTAGCTGCTGTTTCTTCGGGAAAATTTTTTTGTTTTGGTTTGCCTTTTGGGTTTTTTTTTCGGGGTTTGGGGTATTTTTTATAACTGAATTCATCAGGATACGTTTCCGGTTTCTTCCCCTATTTCAGTTCTAGACGTTTTAGTTTTTGCTGCCAAATCAAGTTTCTCTCTCTCTCTCTCTCTCTCTCTCTCTCTCTCTCT